GTTGTCCCGATCATAAATAGACTAGTACAAGCTGCGAAAGCTAACGACTTAGCCGGTGAATTTGAGAGCTAGCTGCTATGACCGCTCTTTATCTACCTTCTCGCCGCTTCCTCATGTCTATCAGTTGAGCTCTGAACAAATCTCTAACCAGAGGAACAGGCTACTCCCGTTGGACAAATTATCGAGTTCGATAGGGAGACAAAGGGAAGGCTTACGCTCGTTGTATGTCCGCGGGTCCACATTTCTTTGACGATCGTTGCGTTTTCTTCACCTCCTCATTGTGCATCAGCTGGTCGACGACCTTGGCTCTCAGGCCTTCAATTAACTTGTCCTCGAATTGGTCGCGATTCACATCCATAAACTTGATTACATATTCATCCGCGTCCATTATCACAAACCGCGTACCAAATACGTCAATAATCGCACCCAACTCGAAGTCCGCAGGACCGTAATACCGTGGTTGTTCCGCCGTGGATCCAGGCTTCGCGACTCTAGTAACAATGAAGATACCGTAAAATAAAATAAAACGCAGAATGTCATTTAGAACAGCCTACTGAGCTTCAACAGTTTTCATATTTGATAGTTGTTGACTGGATATTAGCTTGTTAGTCAAGCAGCCCTGTACTTGAAAAGGGTGTCACCTATCACAGATCAATTAAGTCCTACCTAAAATAAGCACATCTTGTACGAGCTGGTAAAGAGACTACTTTTTAAGGTGTTCAAACACTTACGGAAGACCCGCCCTTTCCGAATATATTTTGTTCCATATTTTGAAGCTATGAGGTCAGTAGTTTATTCTTAAATGGACAAGTGACCAATAAAATTAGGCGAATATCTTTGGATAAATTCCAAAAATCAAAGAAATCTGGGCTTCTAAAATAAGGGAACCAAGGGCGCGTACCTTGAGCGCCGTAAGAAGTAGCCACCCGGAAAACCGGTATTGCGGAGACCCACTTCATAGATGGAAATCATATCGTCGGCCAGACGATAAGAGAGAATGAATTTACGAAGTGCATCATCCGGTCGAACGCTGTCCTTGAATTTTAAAAAGGATTGTTCAAAAGAAACTGCCAGTGCATAACATCATATTTATGTTTTTAGAAAATTTTTATTGGCAAATTATGCAAGTACAGTAAATCAGCTCTCCCACACAAGTGAATGCGTAACGAGTTTATTTCACGATTTGCCTGAATAATAATCCTCTTGGAAATTTCTTTATTCACATCTCCCTCGTACAGCGAACGTCTGACGAAATCATTATTGCATTAGGCGAAGTTGAGCTAGCTGGTAGCGAAAAATGTGTACATGAAGCTCGAAGATGGCCGAAAATATTTGATATTTTAGTTTCGAATCCCTGATAAATGTCTTCTTCAAGAATATCTGGCACGAGGGTTCGACCGTCGACTCCGACGATTTCAGCCGTGTACTCCACAGCCTGTTGGCATAGGTACGGTGAATTACGCGTGATAGGAGACTTTTGCCGCATCTACCTCACTTTATATTCTGTCAGTCGCCTGTGTCCGGTGTCAAGACAGAATCAAGAAGACCGGAGGCGGGATCAAGCGCGGGTGGAAGGCGCGACCGGAACCACAACAACACCTGGCTCAGATCCTATGGAGTTTGAGTTCCATGAAGACCACGGGT